TATTAAGAATTGTTTCATGCTTGTGTGACGTGCACTCTACTGGATTTGTTTTGTGGATGAACGGAAGTGTTTTAACTAAATAAAATAATTATTATAGTAAAAAATAAATGTTGAATATTGTTTTAATCTGTGTAAGCTCAGGACCACATTCTTTGGCTTGGCATGATTTCCAGATGATAAAAAACCCTTCAAAGTTGTAATCCAGTGGCTTTCACAGAGCAATGAAGTTACTTACTTGAGATGTCCTAAAGTCTTGGAATGAGGATAGGAATACATATCTAAACAATAAAGTCATTATCATAAGCTTTTCGCCAATACAATGTAAAAGAGGACAAGTCTTGTTTCTGTTTTGAACTCTGCCAAACTTAATGAAGTCAAGTGATATTTTAGTCTTTTAAATTTGTCAGTTCTTACTTGGCAAATACACTATTTGAAATGTCAAACAGTGAGATGTAYTTCCTAACTATGTTTGTACTTTCCAATACATAAAACTGAGGCTGATGTGCTGTCCTATCTTGTAACATTTTCCTGAGAGCTTCATAAATGGAGATGTGATTTGGGTGACCAGAAACTCCATAACCATCAAATGTTATTACCTGAAGAAAAAACAAACAAACAAACAAAACCACATCAAAAAAGTCATGATATGTCCACAGGGATCAAAACTCAGTTCCAAACACCACCTTGAAAAGTAACCATGCCTTTGCACCAAAGCAAGACAGGAGTTGAGCCTGAAGTGATAGATACCTTTCATTTATACCTATCCATAGTGGCTATAGACAATTAGACTGTATTCACAGGGAACTACCATGCCATGCTCAAGTACTGTCTAGCTTTGATGTAAAAACTTGGGTACCTTACGAGAAAGTGCTGGGAATTGTAAAATGAAGTGTATTGTCTTGGGGGAATTTTTTGTGATATCCAGGGAAATTTTGATTATGAGACAAGTCACGAACCACCAAGGCCAAAGGACTGATTTTTGAAATCTTCTGAATTACATATCATCAGTCAATACCCAAAGGGGGGTACTTGATCCAGATTCAAGGGGGATGTTGTGTTGGTACTTCTAAACCCCGACCCTATATTTAAATCCCCCCTGGATTCAAGCATGATTCAAGAAAGGCAAACAGCTTACCAATTCAATATCATATTGCTTACACTCCTTTAGAATGATAGAACTCACAATGTCTGGCTGCCATGATGCAGTTTGGTGATCTGGAAGCTCACTGTGTGATTACCAAGACAAACAAATGATAGWCTTCCTGACAGTTCTGTTTGCCCTCTTGAAAGCTAACCCTGCATTYTCATTGAAGCAAGATGAGCGGTGAGATTGAAATGATAGATACCTGTGAATAGTTGATCATAGCTGTGAAAGACGAGTTCTATCACTGCTCGCTCACCGCTCATTTCGTTTTGATGCAAAGGAATCTCTCAAGATGGTGTATTGAACTGTAGAGGAGTCTATTGAAAAGTTTAAACACAAAATGCATATAATTACTAAACGATTTTTTTATCAATTAACATCAGTTTCTTCGATTATAAGCTTACGTTTTATTAAGGACTTCTACATTTTCTGGTGGGATTCCCAATAAAGAACAACTTGATAGAAGTTCCTTTTCCCTTATCTTGCCAAGTCCAWAGTAATTTCCTGAGAAGCACATGTATCAAGAACTACACGCAAATAATAGGAAAGACAATATGAAAACAATCAAAAACATTKAAAAGCTTATTGTACCATTTGACAGGCATAGCAGACGAACAABACCACACCGTGCAAGATGCAAGATCGAAGGSGCAAAAAACATACATTCATCATCAGGATGTGCAGTAACGAAGAGAATCTTTTTCTTTTCAAAACACTTCAAAGAATTCCTTCGCCAAACATAGTAATAAGCTATAGCAATGATAAAATGTACAAGAACAACGACAAATACGCACAAAGACAAATTTGCCGCCATCTTGTATATGAAGGCCAGGCTACCAAGTCTATACGACTGGTTGCCGACGGCTCTTCGACTGATCTATTCGGCTATCGGTTTCCTTTCGTATGCTAAATACTTGTTAAACGAAAAAGTCGTCACTTTTTCAGTGTCTTTGAAGCGGACAGTCAGGACCTTGACGATGTCGGACCAAATGCCTATTGTGTTTCTTCCTTCAGGAATTTCAAGAATTATTCCTCACACAAGCTTGGATTCTAAAGATGGTCAGCTTGTTGAAAATTATTATAATCATGGATATTCTCTAAAAGAACGAAGCGCAACTACAAGGTCCGCAAAGATCAATGAAAACACCCCCGGCAATGGCGCATCGTCCGATACTGAAATGGCTGATGAATCRGGCGAATTTTTACCAGAAATGACCATAGATGATGATGATGATCACCTTAGTGATGATAATGATACAAAACACAAAGGAATTTCCCCAACACCGTCTAATAGTGGAGCAGGTGCAAACGCAAAGACACTCAAAGTTTACCAGTCTCACGTGCGAGTATTCAAAGGTACTAAAGCTTTACTGTATTAGTTTAACTGTATTGTTCACTAGATGAACAAATATCTACAGACAAATTAATTGTATTATCTGAAATTTATGTATAACCGTAAGGTATTACAGTAAAGTCATCACAATTAGCAAAGTAAACTTGATTTAACTAAGTTTTTCTCACTCCTCGACTGTAAGTTTATAACCGCATTACGTTACCTTACTGACGTGAGCGCGATATTCAGATTAACGGCATCTTTTTTCATGAAAAAGGAGAAGTATTATGAATTTTTAAATGTAGGCTTTCAAGTTTGAKTGAATATTTAGATYCCAAGGGGTTTTTTCATTAGGATGAATGTGAAGATGACCTTCGTTTTCAAGCGATTTAAGTATTTATAAAGCTTTGTATTTGGCTCATGTTCATACAGTCGATCGTGAAACGGCACTTGTAAAAGCCCGCCGAAGTTGGTTCCCGCGCTGTGGCGAAAAACCTTTGCTTCTTTTTAAAAAAAATATAGCTTAATTTTAGCCTCAATRGATTATAATTCAGTAGTTGTTTAAAACCTATCCGAACTACAGTAATAAGGACCAGGTTTCATCAATAAGAAATAATTAATAAGGTCAGCCATTTAACTTCCAACGGCAGGTTCTAATATCCGTCTCATATCTCTATTCTCTATYGATCACTAAAGATTTRCTTGAAGATTTGTCAAGATTTTAARTTATAACGATTTGGAAAGTACWATAAGGTTGAAATTCGGTTCAAAAAACCTGTCGTTAAGTACATTTTATTACGACAGAAACATCTTTACGCTGGGTTATTTAATAAAAGTGTTTATGGTATATTCACTGGTAGTAGGATGATTAACTTAATAAACAGGTGGCCGTTTTTACCTTTTTAAACAGTACATCCTCTTTAATGAGTAGTATCAAAACGTCCTGTAAAAGCCGTGATATACGCAATGAAATGTTGTATACAAAAAATATATATATCGTATATTCATCTTAATTTTTAGTGTTAAATAAAAGAGGCCCTATGACTATACCAAGATTACTAAATTTTATAAAGCAATTCCAGAAAAAGTAATAGAATTAATGWTTYAAATGAAACAAAATGCTGACTGTCKTAGATATTTTAAAGAAGATGARAGTTTTATCGGARGACTTTTTTTCMATTAATTATAATAGTGGAGAATATAACTGTCATATTATCATGAATCGAAATCATTTATAATTCTTTCTTCAATAAGGGACTCCCATTGGATAATCAGTCTAAGTTTTGATTGGCTGATGCAATGTATATATTGAAGATTGGACGGGTCGTCACAAAAAGTGAAGTGGGTGAAATCACCAGAGCATATGCATTCGAAAACTTGAAATTGTATAATAAATAGAGGGTAATATTCTATCATCATATAATTATTATGAAAGCAAATTATGTCATAAAATACCTTTTTTACTTCCAATATATAGAGAAACTTCCGAATGTGTAATTTTTACAAAAAAAAAACTTTTCAAAAGATATGAATTTTATTTATGCTTCATTCTCGATACGAGGAAGCGAGGAAAGCTAAGGCGTATTATAATTAAAGATTGCTTGTTCTTTTCAATCCCGCAAGCAAGCCTTTGACTGACAATGGAATTGAGGCGAGAACATTAAACTAAAAATGTTTAACGCAAAATTATCATTAAACCGTTGTTTTTAGATTGGTTAAAGCTAGAAGGTTTACCTACCGACTTCGAGTACTGCAGTGCGGAGGAACTYAGCTCATGGCTCAAGAAGTTTTACCGAGATGGAAAAAGAAAAGATGGCCAACAGTGGAAACCGAGCTCATTGAAAATCTTTCGCTTTGCCATCAATCAGCACCTGAACAGTGACCCCTTCAATCGCTCAATCAGTATTACTAAAGACCAACAGTTTAAAGAAGCCAACAATGTTATCAAAGAGCGGCAAAAAGAGTTGATTCAACTTGGAGAAGACGCAACAGGTACAAGAGAGAGTAGGGAAAGCGCTAGACCAATGACAGCCGAGGATGTCCGTCAGCTATTTCAACGCAATATCGTGGGCGTGTCAAATCCTAAAGCCTTACATCGCTACGTCTTCATGATTCTTGGAATCAACTTTGGAATCACAACTAGACTAGCACTGCACTTGCTAAAACCATCCATGCTTGAATTTAAAGTCGACGAGAACTCTGGCCTGACGTACGTGTTGTACGACCCCAAGAGAGACAAAATGACTCTGAATAAGACCCTACATAAGCCAAARAGGAAGATGTATGGCGTGCCTGGAAACCCAATGTGYCCCATCAACGCTTTAAAGCTTTACATTCAAAAGCGGAACCCCGAATGCACAGAGGCGTTCTTCCATACTCCTAACCGGCATTACAAGGAGACTGGAGTGTGGTATACTCCACAAGCCACAGGAAAGAACACACTTGGACGTCTCATGAAAGATATTGCTGCAGAAGGCAAGTTGTCGTTTCCCTACACAAACCACTCTCTACGATACACACCACCGTACATTTTCACTGCCCCAGACCCACGTGCTACAGCATACAGAATCAATGGGGACAGTATTCCAAATGGAAAACCATCTTATATTGATAMTTCTTCATACAATCTGCTAAATATCAAACCCAAGGGGAGTATRGAGAGTGAGAATCGTGTCTTTTCATCGGGGATACCATATAAGGCTATCGTCGAACGTCCAGCGATTACAAACAGCACAACATCAGAACGCATTCCTTTACTTTACCCTCCTATCAACAACAGTGCTGTATGTACCACTGACACCGCAGCATCAAACGTGGTTAAAGTGATAACAGAGACGGCCAAAGATGAATCCTTTCCAYCCAGGGAACAAATGCTAGAAACCCGTCCCAAGTCCCACTCTACCAGTACAACCCGACCAATCAAAGCACACCATGTGCTGTGTGTATCTAAACAATGGGATATAGAGGATATCATTAAAGCTATTAACTCTGGTGATGCTATCATACTATCAAAACAGGGTGTTATAGAATCAGCCACTACTAACTATGAGCCTCAGACGCAGCACTCCCCTAGCCTCCCTAATCCGACCAACTCGACCRGTGTAGTAGTCAAGAATGAGGCAATCCATAACGATATCGATCTGTCATGTTCGATGAAAACAAGTGTGTCACAGAAACTCTCAGCACGCCCTGGCCGTAAACAAGTAAGCAAGCAATCTTGTTTGTGAATATATAGCGATATTTCAGTTTCTTCATCATAAATATTATTTTTCAGCTCGAGCCGAAAAGAATTCGTCCTGACGAGGCAGGAGACGACAGYTTTCAGGTTACTTGATGTTATGATTGTCAATGTTTTGCTTTTCTTATGTTAGATCTATTTTCTTATAGTGAAAAACAGAATTTTTCATGCATCAGACTATGCAGTCTGTATGTGCGGTAGTCACAAATTTGCAGTCATCAAAGCGCTTGTATCAAACCAGGCATTGCTCCATTATTTGGTTTCAATTTCTGTATCAGTGATTTTGAGATTTTTGTTTGTTTGTGTTTATCCGTTTTGTTTTGTTGCCGTTTATGTCGTTATTGCTGTTTTCCGAAAATTAATCCTTTAGCTAAAGAAACATTGATATGTTTCCTTTCAGATTGAAGTGGCATATGATGATGCGGTCACCAGTATTCAAGCCAACTTAACGCTAATRAAACAACTGCAGAAAAGCTATCCACCATCCAAACAAACCATCGATGAACTGTTCAAAATCAGAAAAATACTAGACCGTCTTTTAACTGAACTYTAGATAACTTTTCAGCTGGTTGGTGGTTATATAATATATAGTAGTTTGGTTTAGTAGCAGAGATGCAAAAGTAGATGGAGAGAAGATAGCGGCTTGTAGTTTAAGACCATCTGATGTGCTATTCACAAACATAACAGCGACATTATTGAAACATCGTACACAGCGTTTAAGCATTGATTAGTGCATTTCGTTTTCTTTTATAAATTATCAGATTTTAGTTTTAAATAAAATCTACAACGTTATAAGTTGTAAAATGTTTAAATGATATTGTCCATATTTCTCGAAGCTCAAGACAGAGATGCCATCCATCAGTCCCAACGCCATATGACAAGCCACCAAAAAACAGTTGATGAAAATTAGTTTTTAGCGTTTGAAAAGAATGATTTTCATATTTTAATGTTATGACGTCATAATGTGTGCTACTCTATTACGTCACAATAATTCAATGATGGTATTCGCGCGCGGTTCTCCATGAAGAGCGATAGCAAAACCAGTTAAAATGCGTGATGGGATGTGCCCCAAGTTATCCTATCGCAAGGGTTCCAGTGTTATACGAGCTGCCATATCTCTACGATACATCAGGTACGCAAGAATTTACAACAGACACAATCAACAGTCATTGAAAAACGAATTATTACTGACAGCGTTGCCTTAAGAAATATTTAGATTTATAGGATCACAGAATAACAGGACGTATCTTTGCAATGCTCTCATATCGCCATTGTTACTTGAATTTTTTTATGAAGAACATCACTTTGCTGTTTATTTTTGATCTACGAGCGTTCTAATTATTTTGCTGTGAGCGCGCTTTAAATCGCAACGGAATCGCAACGTCATTCGGATTTACAAACTTATGAAAGTTGATATCATTTTCATTTTTTTGGACATTTTGTGCGTGTATATAAAACCTGAGTCTTTTGATAGTTTAGGGGATCAAGTAGTTGAACAAGTGAGTATGAAACAATTGGGAATGTTACTTGTAGGAAAGCGTAGAGAAAACATTGGAAAATTAGACGATACGGAATTCAAAAAGATACAAGCGCAGTACTGGAGCAAACTTATCGAGGAAAGGAAAAAAATAGCTTTAAAYAAAAGGAAGTTTCAAGGTACGTAACTTCAGTACAGCTTCCCTGTGAGAAATTATGTCTCCAGGGTCATTTGTATCTATGAACAATAATCTTTGAGGCTGAATGTGGAGGATATGATGATGTGGAGGCATAGTATGGTGAAAAACGAGAAAAATCGCATTCAAACTCAAACACGAGAGCAACAACATTGTGCGACAAGTTGAGGTTTTTTGTAACTCGTATTTCTCAGCATTTGAGTAAAAACAGCCTTAAATTTACATGCACATTGCTAAGAGCTGGCGCTGTTACGTAGAAGTTACATCGATGTGTAAGATAGAAAGTTGCTGCAAATTGACGCCACGTAAAAATCAGTTGATCCAATAAAAAATAAAATAAAATATGTAATCAATTTTTGAATCGAAATGAAATTTTGACTAGACCCTTGTACCGACTTACATTGAACGTTACATTTTCCAGAAATGGGCGAAAAAGACTTCCARACTCTTACCAACGAATTTCCCAGATTCGACATGTCAGATATTCTAGATTTACGATTGCAATTTCAAAGTTTTGATGTGAATCAGGATGGCATTATCGACTTTAATGAGCTGTAAGTACATATTGCATACATTGCACTTTTCAGGGTGTTTGCTGATATTGCAAGAAAGTCGTCATTGTCATTTTCCCCTCCGCTTGAATACGGAGGATAAATAACATTATTATATATCAAGTGTCAAAGTTCACTTTTCCTAGTATCTTATTGGTCGAGAGTGTACTACGTGAAAGTCACAAAATTCTACTGTTTCCCGGCAACTGTCCACCAGCGGTCAATAATATGTTGTGGACCGTCAATAAGTACAAAATCGCAGAAAAACACTCTTCAGTGTCGTGAAAATGCCACATTTACGGACGGTGAATTCCAAAATTGTTTTGAAACATTTAATTTCGTCTACAAATAGTTATTATATTCATTGTGTTATTACATTGATTGATTTTAGTGACATTTGATGACTATTTGTATTGCCATTTTTCAGTCATTTTATCAAAATCTTTAATAAAAACACTTCATTTATTTACGTTTTTTGCTCTCTTTGACACTTGATATGATAATAAAGCACTTATTTACTGGAAATCTCGGGAAACAGTATGTTTTGCGGTCCCTCGACCGCTGATGTTTCCCTCAGCTCCGCTTCGGGAAACATCAGCGGTCTCGGGACCACAAAACATACTGTTTCCCTCGGTTCCAGTAAATAAGTGTTAAATGTAGTGATAGACTAGTTGTTACACTTAACCCGTCAAATAGTTGATGTATTCCAAGGACCGTCTCTCGTGCAGATAAGAGTTAGTATCCCATACAAGGATTTTCTTGACTGGATAGCACTCAGTCACTGCCATGAAATCTGTTTAAGGGACGAAATGCAGAGTTTTACTATGTGCCCAATTGAAATGATTGTGGGCGCAAAGGTTTATATTCAGGTAGAACTATTCACAGCACATTAGTTGTTGGTTTATTTTAGTATGCAAGTCCTTGATGATCTGGGCGATCACTCTGACGCGGAGACCAGACAAGAATATTTCCAACAAATTGATGTCGATGGATCTGGTGCTATTGATTTTGAAGAATTCTTAGGTGTAAGTTGCGCAAATTATATTTTGTTTACAAAACAGGAGAACACAAGTAGTTATTGACTTCTACGTAAATATTACACACAAAAAAATCACTAGAATTTAGAGTACGGGCCGCGTGCAACAAGAACAATTGTCACTAAGGAGCGACTCAAAATAGGGTAAGTATTGACGGGTGCAAGGTCTCAGGACTACGTGCGCACCCCTCAAGCTCGCCATCTGGAGACACCTTTGTATAGTAAACACCAAATGCAAAGCTACTTCAAAATCCTTTACTGATCAAACGCGTTTTAGATATTAAAATATATATTGAGCCCCTTTCCATTTCAGTTAATCCACAAACTAMGAAGCGAAGCAGAAGACGAATTAGGTCAGTTGGGAAATCTTTGCAAAAGAGGAACAGACAACATTCAACGCGTAAGAAAATTAAGCGTGGCGCAACAGATGCAAACAGGACTCTTTTGACCCAAAAGTTTCGTTACAAATGTTGTTTTTCTTGTCTTTAATTAACTACAAGATGATATTGTATGTGATTACAGATATAAACTGGAGTTTACCTAACATACTTTAGATGTATCACATGCTGTATTTAAGAATCGTTATTAATAAACTGGACTTGACTAAATATAATTTATCTACTGTTCTGTGAATGGTATCATAATTTTACATTTTGTGGATACTAAAACGCGAAATTTAAGTTAAACTATTCAATAGCACTTTCTATTAATTTTCCAACACTGGTCACTATTTCTTCAATTTAACTTATACACTACTTTTTCAAAATTGGAGCTTTTTACAAGTAATTATACAAAATTACAAAATTTAGTGCCTATCAACAGTTGCAGTAACAACGTCAATTGAGGTTCAATTTTCATTCTCCCAAGAAACAACAACAGGCGAGAAATCAAATTTGTCAGGATGACCAAGGGGACGCTTCCATTCTGTTTTGCTCCATTGAAAGACAGGCTGTTGGTCATGCGTKGGACCGCTGACWGCTAAACAMTGGAACTCCTTGAACATTTTGGATGATGTAATCTGGAATAGAAGGTGTTAATGAGAAATTTTATCAACAGATCAAATGCTGATTCAATCTTTAGGGAAAAGAGAAGGATTGAGARAATCAGCAGAAAGGAAGAGGATAAAAATAGAAAATAGGAACGATAAAAAAATATTGTACAGTTAAGACTTAAGCAGASAATTTTTTTGTAATTAAATAACGAATGTGGAGTATGTTAAAATTGCAGCACATCTTAACGATAGTAATGCCTTTGCATCAGAAAGGTGRGGTGGGGGGATGTTTGTTTACAAAGACCGATAGCTCTGAATATTGTTGTAGTAGATACAGAGCAGTGATCTATCATACAACTTAACCAAGTTTGTCTCATTCCAATGCAAAGGCAAAGGCATTTTTTGCCATGAAACAACAAAATCTGTAAAGTACTACCCATCAAGCCTCCTCACATTATGATTTTTTTCATACTATGTAAGAAAAGTGCATGCATMAGAAACGTACCTTGCAGTCAGTACCRCCATGCATACGATGGCCTAATGCTGGAATGGGATACTTCCCATTAGCAGGRTTCAAGTCAGATCTCGCTGAAATAGCATTTTCTCCACTGTATGGTGGTGTGCAATTACACTTGGCTAATGGATCATTCTTGAAGTCATTGTACCTGTAAAAACAATCATATTTCAAGCTCTATACGTCACCTTTCTCTCAAAGTAACCTTAGCCATGCGTTCTCTGCTTATCTGAAGTACACTGGGACAGAGGAGCAAAAGAGTGAATTCTTTCCAGCTGGATTTCCCTCCCAATCTCCTTTGGAGTGGCTAGGAATGTCTGGCTATGCTGACAAGACTATTTTTATATGGCCCTCCAAATGGAATGTCTATGCAGCTCACTGTATTCTATGTAAAATGTATCATTCTGCACAAACATAGAAATCCCACCACTTATAGCCTGTGTAACATTCGGAATTTCTATCTAATTTCTGACGGATGTAACACAGGCTAACCACTAARAGCACTTGTGATTGAATTCTGGAAAGAAACTTTCACCCATACATGTACTACATGGGATTACTTCCCACTGACTTAAAAAGCTCACTGTTTACACCTTCTTTAAGGAAATAGAAGAATAAGTTGAGGATACGATCAGCATTATATATTTGTGTACCTCATCAATTTCATCATTGTGTTTAAGTCAGTCACTGTATGTTGGTCTCTTCTAAAAATYTGAGCTCTTGGRCACTCATTGTAGTCAAAAAATGAGCCAAATTTTTGACGATTTTCTTCACAACCACTCATGTTGTAAATGGAAGGAAAATACCTACAAAATACAATAATATAAATAACTGATTCAACATTTACTTTTTCTTTTGGCACAAATAACACATTAATCAGTCAGTATGAGCAAACAATGTTTGAACTAAATCGAGACCAGTGAACTTGCAATGTACAATGCTACAGTAATGAGTATGGGGCTATAAAGTGCTATATAATTAATAAATAATTGTGGTACTTACGGGAKATTGTAACTTGACCAAAAGCGRTTCTGTTCTAAGAATACAGTCATGTCAGCAGACTCAGTCATGCCMGGAATTTGCTCAAGAATAGAAAGTGTTCCTGGTTTTAGAGGCTGACCAGGCACAAACTGTTTGTAATCCAGAACCATCCACTAGATAAGTTAAAATAAAGCACATACTAAGCAATGTKATTTTACATCCACTAAAAAATATCAGAAAAACAATAATTGTTGGGCTTTATAGGGTGGTGTCATATCAACAAAAGTAAGATAGGTATATATCTTACCTGATTATTATAACTAAATGTAGATATAAACCAATGTCAATGAAGAGTATGTAGAATAAAATGAAAACAAACATTAAAATMTGCACTTAATGTAACATGAACAACTGTACTAAGAACAAAAATGACAACTTTATAGTCRTTAACYTGAGTAAGCAAGCTCTWGCTGTTTTAATTCRACAATGAATAAGARAAAAWTKSMWTTWWTMWTKKYCMWTWMMARG